CCCCCCTTCCCCCCCCCCCCTGGATCCTACGACTCTCTCCCTAGAACACGTGAGCCACAAGCAAGATCCGCAGGTTGAAACGACCGTCGAAGAGGCCAAAACCCCACGGGAGCCTAAAAAAATGTGGAAAACTGCGTACAACCATAATAATAATGATTCCGTCAACATGTACTCACCATCACATTCCGCTACCAAATTTGTCAAAAAAAAAATCTTATTGTCCCTGAGACTTACCTCATAATTGTCCTTGTATCCCTTCCACCTGAGGACGAAAAAAAAGAGATTTGAATGATGAAAGGAAAAAATAATGAGGGCCCCCCGAAAANATTGTCCTTGTATCCCTTCCACCTGAGGACGAAAAAAAAAGAGATTTGAATGATGAAAGGAAAAAAATAATGAGGGCCCCCCGAAAACGTGAAAAACACAAAACTCCGGAGTTGAAGAGGGGGGGGGGGGAGGGGGGGCTTGAGTTATGGCACGTACCATCGTTTGTGTTTTGTTTGTCATCTACCCAGATTACGTGTGCTCGAGTGAGAGGTGAAATGATGGAAAAAGTGAGATGGGGCTAGTGAGAAATACAAAAATGAAGAGAAAAAATGGGTGTAGGAGAGGGACGGAGGGAGGGGGGGAGGGGGAAGAAAAAAGACTTTCCACCCCACTTCGGCGCTGCTTGTCGAACCCCCCCCCCCCTCAAACGAACCCCCCACCACTGATGCAGGCAGCCCCCGCCGAGTTGCTATCGTCCAAAGCGAGAGAATCACAGTTTGAGAATCAAACATGGCTGTTCAGTCGCTGTTTACGCCTCTGGCATACGGTTCGTGAGCAGCTCCAGGTACTCCAACACAGTAAATTCAATTCAAAGTTGATATTAAATTGGAGTGAAAAAAAAGGGATTTGGGTAATTTAAATTGTTAGGCAAAAAGGTGTGTGAGGGGTGGGATTATGAGTACGTGTGGCGTAACGACGTTACGAACATTTAACGGTGACAGTAATATGGAAGTTATTGGGATTCATGGACATCAGGAGAATGGTCCTGGTGAAATTAATCAAGTACGTGAGGCGAAGGGCGTTGAGACGAACCCGACGCCGCAGGCACCAATGGAGGTGGCGAGTGAGGCGCACTCTGGGGGAGACGGCGGCGAGTGCAAAGACAGGCTGGCAAACGCCAAGGGACGAAAGGACGTAAGTATTTTTCAACCCTTTTTTATGATTATTTTTTACTTTTTTTTATTTTTGAGTTTTTTGGAGGGTTGTAGGGGGTTATTGAAG